GGTCATTTAAACCAGAGGTTCTAGCTGTAATTCACAAATAATTAGTATTACTCAAAGTCTTAAAATTTAAGGGTAGTTTTTTTTTGTAAAAAGAATTTAAGCGGATAGTTGTTCACAAAATTATTGTATATTCGTTAGGTAGATTATTAAAGGGAAATATTCATCTATACTTTATTAGTATTTAAAGTGAGGGATAACTCAAGTGGTTAAAACTTCCCTCTAGGTTTCAAGTAATCTTGAAAAAGATTAAGAGTTTTGATATATATTAGACTTGGAAATGCATTGTTCAACATGTTTTTGAGGTTGGCCGGTAAATTGAATGATGCTTGGTATGTGTTTGAGAAAAATAAAGGAGAGTGATTTGTTTTCATAGAATGTGTTAACTGGTGGGTATGCGAGCCGGGTGCAAGCTTGATACTATTGCTCCAGTTGAGAAAATTTTCTCCATTGAACGTAACGTTTCCAAGTGGAACATTAGCATTATCTAAGTTTGCTAGGAACAAAGGGTTGCATAACTATTCTCGTTCCTTGATTCTTTATCTTAACCTGGCCTGCCATTTTTAGCTAGAAATCAAGACTCTTCTTTTCTCAAAATGTAGAAAGATATAAAGTTTTAATTTTTATATCGTTCATGCTCTGATACCATGTAAAATTCTAATCTTTCATCATTTTATATGTTCTATTTTTTAAGGAAAACCTCTTTCAATAATTCAGCCAAATCTATTTTGAGTTTTGATTATAAAGAATAAAAGAGTAAACAGATATGTACATGTATTTACTTGTATTTTCTACGATGAATTTTGTTAAGTTCGTGGCCTGTTCATACTCATCTTTATCTGTGGTTTGTGCTAATGTGCTTGGTTCATAACACTAAGCTTTATAATTGTGTCATTACCATATAATATTGGCTCATTTCTAGTTCCTTGGGCCCCATTGATGTGAAGAATTTAAGATCAAGAGGATTTAAAATATCTATTTCGAGCTAGTGGCCTAACATGAATAATGATTGCTCAAAGTGGAGACCATTTGACCTCGTATTTTTCCTGTGAAAGCGATAACACACATGCAAGGTGAAATTAATGGTCTCATTTTAATTAGGAAAAGAAAAAATCAAAAAAATTAATTAATATTTAAAGGAAAACGCTATACATAGCCCTTAGGGCTACACATAAGTAGAGCTGTCAAAAGTTGATCCGATCCGAAAATTTTACCCAAATTCGATCATAATCTAACCTGTTTGAACCCGAGAATTGGTGACCCGAACCCGATATGACCTGACCGGAAACCAACCCGAGACCCGAGTTAACCTTAGGATTCGTGACCCGAACCCGAACATGACCCAACCTGAGATGACCCAATACCCGAACATAACTCGTCAATTATTGACCTAAACTGAACCCGACCCTAACCCGAGATTGACCCAAACCTGTTTTAACCTATTGAAACCCGAAATCAACTCGACCTGTTACTAACCCGACCTGTTTTTAACCCGACCGAAACCTAATATAACCCGACTTAAATAGTAATGCAATCATGTCAAATTGACCCGAATCAAGCTAACTCAACTAAACACTCAAAAATTGACAAATCTACCTTTAACATTTGCTTACACATTGATTCCTTAAATCAACTTTCCCACACCACACACATATATTAACTCTTATATTCTTATCTAATATAGCTAGTAATTTAGTTTAGCACATTAATGCTTTAAAATGTTTCCCTCAATGAAGCTAGTTAATTGAGAAGGATTGTAATCCGAATATGAACTTATCTGAAATTATTTCTATCACAGTAAAATGAAGAAATTGATAATGATTAAACGTGAACGTCAATACATGAAGGTCATGAACTGTTAACAAACCGATCAGAAAAATGTACCCGAACTCGATATGACTCGACCTGAAATCAACCCGAGCCTCGGATTAACCCAATATTTGAGCCCCGAAAATTACCCGACCTGAAAATGACCTGACCTGATTATAAACCGCAAATTATTGACTTGAACCGAATTTGACCCGAACCCGAGAATGACCCTAACTCGTTTTAACCCGTTAAAACCCGAATTAAACCCGACCTATTATTCACCCGACTCGAATGTAACCCGACTTGTTATTGACCCGACTTAAACCCGACCCAAACTCGATAAGATGTATGACCCGACATGACTCGACTCAAGTATGACCCAACCCGAACCCGACCCTCATAGGTTACGACATTAACCCGAATTGACCCGACCCAAGGTGACCCAATCCACACTAACCCGACCAAACTCGACCTGTTTACCCGAATTGACAGCTCTACATATAAGCATTAAATACACACTAGAAAATCGTATAAATTTAGGAAATCATCAAATTATAAGCACTAATTACACTTATTTACGTGTGTTTTGTCATGAATTCCTGATTTTATACAATTTTCAAGAGTGTATTTAATGCTTATATATAGCCCTTAGGGCTACATATAACATCATATTTAAATTAGGCAGAATACCGAAAACATAAAAATGATTAATATTTAAATTAGATGGTATTCCCAACTTTATAATGGATTACTAATTAATTCTATAATGTATCCTCTTGAGTTTGTACTCTCTTTTATATATACTGCTTGTACTTGGCCCAATACATGTATCCAACTTAGCTAGCTCTGAATCTGAATACCTTAGCTCACACATGTCCCATTCACCCATTCAAACGGGCCTAAATCTAGATATGTGATGAAATGCCAAACAATTGCACTGAATAAAACATTATCTCTATCAAGTTTTTTTTTTTTTTTTTTTTTTTTGACAGGACTCTATTTTGATTAAAGTTAGTTGAATGAATCTTAATGAGTTAGCCCTACTATAATGATATAGTCATTTATCTCAAAATCAGTAAATGAATGCATTAAACCCACATGCATGCATCTGCGTGCCTTTTGGTGGAGGAAAAATGGAAAGCGCTAGGAATACTAACGTTGGATAGTCATACATTGGACCTACTCTTTTTCTTCGTGATGCTTCCATGTGTAATTCAACACGTGTGAAAGTTCCCCATATTTTTGCCTTTTTCTTTAAGTATATTGGGACGATGTCATTTTTTGCAAACTACAAGTAGGATGGCGTAGGACTTTGTTTCCAGCCCAATTGACACACAATAGCTCTGACTCAACAATCGATAGGTAGATGTGATATCATATGCATTTTAACAACTTCGAAAACGGTGAATTGATAATATCAACTAAATTAGTTGGTTAAAGAGGGTAATACAAAGTGAGATAAATGAAATAATCTCATTTATAATAATTCATTAATAATAATTTTTACAATTGGTGTGACTCGTAATCGAGTACGACTGCACGTGCATGTAACATGTTGGTCCGGCCACAGACCCGAATGCAAATATTGAAACAGTAGCGAAATTGGATGGGGAGCTGCAAAGCGCGCACAATGGCAAGAGCTGTGTGCGTGCAATACACATGATAAGCTATCACACGTGTTGTGAATATGCAGTTTTATGTTTGTTGCAGGGTATTACGTAGTATATTATATAACCTAGTTTAAGGAAGTACTCATAACCTTGATAAACAAAAATAAATTAGATGGCAAAATTGTATATGAATCAATAAAAGTATTCAGTTAGCATGACATTTTTGTACTTATATTAATAATTATGATTTTTATTTTTAACAAAAGTTGTTGATTCATTTACTATTTTAAATCACCTCTCAAAACTTTATCTTGATGATGAGCTAATCCCTATTTTATACTTCCTCTGTTTTTTAATAGTTGCAATACTCTTTTGTTTTCACTGCACACTTGTCTTATATATTAGTATTTTTCCTCGTCTTATTTTAGTTACCTTGCTATTCGATTAATAAAATATCTCAATTTACGTATTGTATATATCGGTGGGGTTACTTCATGGTTAAGGCAGAAGCAATTGTAATAAAATAGAATGAGTAAATAGTGAGAGGTGCATAGAAGGAGACTGGTACATTGGCTAGATGAACCAAAGGCAGAGTTGGTGAGTTGCTGTTAGGTGTCAAATGTCAACTGTGTGCTAACTCCATGTGTAGGCGTCCCCTTGGCCTTCTTAGGTGTGCGTTTTGCTGCTCTTTTTCTCGTCTTTTCTCATTCACTTGATTGCTATGGTTTGTTGTCATACACGTTTGCCTAGTTCTTCGAGATTCCTTTTCTCTTCTTTTTTTTTTCCTTTCAATCTTTTATCTATTCTAACAAAATTCAGATCTATTTATTACGGAGTTCAAACTATTTTTTGGTTAAAATAATTAAATTGTGTTATATTCAATTGATATTTACTATATTTAAATTATTTATTTATTGAATATGATGTCCTGTAAGACTAATACTAAAGATGGGTATGGGTCGAATTGTGTAGACTATGTAATGATGTGTTGTGTTAGTGTGCCAGCTGCTCAAACGAGATGTGTCTCAAAAGGGATAAGAAATAGTCGTACCATGTTATGTTCATGTGGTTTTTTTTAAGCAAAGCCCCCATGCACGACCTGATGCATGTGTCGAGTCATTTTATGTATTGTTGTGTCGTTCCCGCAAATCCCCTACCCCCTTTGTAATTTTTATGTACTTAGTAAATTGGTTTTAAATAAAAGGCAAGTCGACAAACAAAGCAGCCCGTTGTGCTTGTGCCGAACTCATGTCAACTTTTGAATATGATGTCTATGCACATCACATGGTCCATTGGTGTGCTTCGATCTCATGCCATATCAAGGCTAAGTTGTAGCAAGCTCATCTCAGGTCCAACCATTTTTTTTGTCATGCTTAATAGCCCCTTGTACGTGAAAAGAGACGATAAGAGAAAATTAATAACATAACATTAACCATCATTTGTAGCTATTTATAATATGTTAAAGTTTTACGCTTATTAATACATAACATTAACCATCAATTATAAATAGGATAAATGTTAAAGTGTTACAAGTAAACAAGAACAGAATAACCGAAAAAATACACCGTCTTATCCAAGACTATATTTTCTTGGACGGACCCAAGACCTAACTATACAAATAATGAATAATACAAGGGATGGATAGAAATACTTATATATTATAATATTATATAGATTCCTCCGCCGTGTCGAAAACATACTCCCTCGTTGAGGAGTCATTTGGTCACTTGAACTCATTTAATTTAGTTATATCATATGATGATATACTACGTAGTTGTTTTTTTTTTTTTTTTTTTTTTTTTTTTTTTGAGAAGATATCATATGATATAGTTTTATTTCATATAATTCCCTTTTATATATCAGAGTTTGTACTTGGGCATCAGCATGCAACTCATTTTTGTGGTCGCGAGGTTGTCACCCGTCACCCCTTAAAACTTTATAATAAAATAAAATCCGAATACTTTATATAGCAACCTCAACCTCAACACATCCCAATTTTATTTTTATACTTGTGTTATAAATTTTCTCTTTATCATCTCTTTTCACTCACAAATTATTTTTCCCTCAAAACATGCCAAGTGGCTCACCATTACCAAACAACACCAACGCCTCTTACTCCTTTGAGGAGTTCCTCCGCGGTTGGTGCCACCGCTTGGACCGCCTCTCCGCCGAGATCACCGCCGCTGTCGATACGAAGGATGGCGAAGCGAGCCAGATTGAGGACATGGATGCTAAGCTACTAATAGCGCGAGCTCTCGGTCATTTTGAGGAATACTATGAGCACAAGTCTCGTGCTGCTCATCTCAATGGATTTGCTCTTTTCTCCCCTAATTTTTGTTCATCATTTGAATGTGCTTTCCTTTGGGTCGCCGGGTTTCGGCCTCGGGTTCTTTTGCATCTCGTCTCCAGCTCCGTTCAGGATTTGTCCGCTCAGCAGACTCAAGCGCTTGACAGGTACATACATACTCTATCCATTCTTTTTTATCTTATGAATCAGGTGATGGGTTCTGTGTACTTATATTTATTTATGGTTGACACGTGTATTGCATGCGCAATAAAATACATACAGGCACGTGTCTTGAGACTATGCTGATTTATCATAGGCCGTGCTAGCTGGTGCAAACTATACCTTCTCTAAGTATGAAGAAAATGTGAAAAAGGCTCTTGAGCGAGAGTGCGAGTGGGATGTTCTCCACACGTGTGCCTAGATATTTATTTTTCTTTCCTTTTGTTGATTTGTTTAATTAGGACTAAAGTAGTCAAGATGTAGACTTTTCTTGGCTAAAAAGATTTGTTATATACATAAAGGCTTAAAAGACTTAATCTTTCTTACGGATATTTGGGCTAATAATTAATTAAGATATGGATCGGTTAACATATTAAAATCAAAAATTTAATATCTGACATCAAATTTTGTCTATATTATTAGTGCCCTTTTATAAGTAAATGTATATGAGTTCTAAAATTGAAACTTTTATACCAAGAAAAATGTACATTTTTTTAAAAAAAAAAAATTAGAAAAGGTGAGGGTAGGGAGTAAAGTTTAGAGTAAATGAGACCCAATAAATGGAATATTTTAGAGGTCAATATAGATTAAAAGGGTGGTGGGTAGTTGCATGTAAACATGTAGTCAGTGAGGGGTAAAGTGACAGTGTAACACTGAGAACTTGTTTTGAAATTATTTGCAATATGCCAATATGTGCTATAGTGCTCTGCCAAACCATAACACCGATTATTCTTTTTTTTCTTATTTTTATTTTTTTATCTACAAACATTTTAGGGTAAACATTTACAAATTTTGACTTTGAATTGATCAATTATCGGCTCATTTTAACATCTAAAAAACTATGTAAGTGCTATTTGATTATGTGTTAAAGGACTGATACTTAGTATGTTATCTCTAACAAAAAAGTTAGAGTAATGTAGGAACTTCTTAGGATCTTTTTCTCGTATTTATGGACATAGTAAGAAGATGCCATTTAAAGAATCAATGTAAATGGAAACATGTATCGACGTTATAGAGCGAGAACGTATTATTTAGTTTATTTGACTAGAAGGTTAGGCCAAAAATGTATTTTATATGTTGCAAGATACAACCTTTCTTAATTAACTCATTCCACAATAATAAAACATGCATGTAGCTCAATGGAAAAACCTTAATTTAATTTCTCATCTGATTTCATTAGAATATGTTAGAACTCATATATGAATGCCCATTTTCTTTCTCAAATTAATATACTCATTCTTCTCTTATAATCTCTTACATTAGTAATGTCCACCGTTCTTGCAAATTACCATTTCTTTCCAATCTCTACATTCATTGAAGATGATCAATTGCCCCCAAAATACTGGCCACCAATTGTGTAGCAATAATTGAAATAATGTAGCCCGATTTAATAATCAAATTCACTGTTTAATCTTTCTCTTTTCTCTAGTGCTGGGTCTTCAACTTGCATGCATGCACCATTGCCTTCTAACAGCTTCATTGAATCACAACATCAAAGTATCGAACATAGTTGTTTTCGAAATTTTAAAGTGTGTGGAAATGAGCAACCTATTCACTTTTAAAATTGCACATGAAAATTTGGAAGTTATTTTTTTTATTGGATGAATTAATTTGCTGTTACAATCAAATCACTAGTCTAGTGTGAATATGTAATTAATGTGCATTGTTTTTATACTATCCAAAAAATTTGTTTTTTTTTTGGTATTGTTTGATTTTATTGGTTATTTGCTGAAATTTTTGAGCAAATGAGCTAATTTATAAAGATAGGTTTTAAATTTTCCAAGATTTTCACTTTCTTTTATTTCTGATTTTTGCATAGTTGTGCAAATGAAAATATATTTTAGGGCCCAATTTTAAAATCCCAAAGTTTTCTCTTTCCTTTTGCACTCTAATTATCTCAAAGTAAATTTGTCAATATTTATCAAATCCTTTTGCTTGATTTGATAAATTGAGCAAACATGAGAAAATTAGATTTGATCTAAAGGACTAAAAATATTCTACTACTCATAGAAATCACAATTCGAACACACAACCTCAAATTTGAACACTAATTGCCCTGCCACTAAGATATGTGATACTTCATGCTTTCTTTTGCAAAAGATAAAAAATCAAAATATTGTGAACGACATTGTAAAAAAAAAAAATAATTTAAGAAAGGATTGGGTCATGTATAAACCGACATATTGTTCAAGCCAAAATACTAGTTCAAGACTTAACATTTGTATCGAATGAATATAATTGTATTTTTTAGATTGATTTAACATGTGTTTGAAATTGTTTTTTATTTTTAAATTTGGAGAGTTGAGTTTTAGTTTAGTGAGAGAGTGGTGTAATTCCTCCATTTTTTAATACGTGCAACACACTTTTTCACAGTATTTAAGAAAAATGGGCCTCACATTATTTAACACATTTAAAATGAGGTTCAGAGATTGTTATGAATTTACTTAAGTGAGCCGTAAGTTTTTTACTTTTTTTTTTATTTTTTATTTTTTTAAATGAGCATAAGTTTTTAACTAAGGGCAATAGTACCACATTTATCAAAAAAATACTTTCCAATTATAGTTTCTTGCAAATATTGTGAAATTTTAATTTTATGAAAGTGTTGCAAGTATTAGAGAAAAAGGGAGAAGTATGAGTTATTACTAAAATGTCAAAATTACAAATATGTCTACCTTGCAAGGTACAACGACAATGCAGAAGGTAAGAAGGTTTTAACCAAAAATAAATAAATAAATAAAACCTTAAAAGTTAAAGCTAAAAGTTGTCTTCTCCTATTTCCTTTCTTTGTATTAATTAATCTATTTATTGGTTAACATAAAATTTCAATTATTAATATTTTTCCAAATCATATTTATCTTTTGTAATATTTCTTCCGATTTTTTTTGTTTTCCCATTTAAAATCTTGATACTATTTATTATTAAGAGAATCTTCTACGAATAAATTACTCTTGGAGCATATTTGGTGAGGGGTTTTTTTTTCGAAAACGGATTCAATTAAACTAGTATTGCTACCAAACGTTTGGTTAGAAGATTTAGATGACAATTATCATTATTTAGGGTTATTAGTTAATTTATTTATGGAATACTAGAACAATTATGACTTTATGAGTAGTCGAGTATTGTCTTATTTCATACAATACCTACCTCACTAAAACCTAAGGTAAGAAAAAGAACTAAAATAGCAAAATGAGGCGTGGGTCCTAATCCCTTGTATTGTGACTTAAAAAGGATCCAATCTATAGATCGTTGCCGCGGGCGCGCAGGTTTGTCCACTTCTAGCCAAACGTCTGGGATTGTGCACTTCATTAATCTCCCATTCATTCTTTATTTTGAGGCCCTAAATTTGAGGCTTCTATTTGATAAAATTAAATAATGCAATCAAAAGTTGTATGAACCTATAAGATGGAACTTCACAATTTGTTTACGTGGAACTTTCTAGAGCAACCAAATAATTTTATTAGGGAGTACAGAGGAAAATATAAATTGCGTATTTTGTATAGGAATGTGCAATTAAAAAAATAATACTTCATAGTATCTTTGTTTTGCTTTTTGAGCCATTTATATATATATACTGATATACTATTAACCTTAGGAACATTTTAAGAGTGGAGATCTCTTTTCATTCAACTTCACTTTTAAAGTGTCAAATCCACAAATACCACACCAAAAAAATTCGTAATGTTGAGATTTGATCAAATTTCTTCACTTTACCTTAATTAAAGAAAAAAAAAAAATTTGTATTTTTTACACACGTTAGGATATACTTCATGTGTATTATAGATGATAAGTTTTTTTTTTATTTCACCTCCCTAATAAGTAAAAACTTGTGCTAAAAGCCTAAATGCATTAGTTAAATTTGAATTAGGCCGAAATAGGTTTAATTTCAACAAAATTAAGTGGTTTTTTTTTTTTTTTTTTCATGTATATATACATAGCAAAAATAACTTCTTTTTTTCATCAAAAACATGTGGAAGAACAGATGGGGTGGCCTATGGTGAGATTCGGAATAAAAATTGTACGCGACCTCATTCAGTCGTCGTGTCCTTGTAGAGTTGTAGGCTAGGACCCTCCATCTATCTTTCATCTTTGGTGTTTTACACTGGTGCAGTCATGCTAGATGTTCTATACCATGGTACTATGATTCTCTCTAGTTAGGCTCTTCGGGCATAACACCGTCCCTATACATCAAATACATGGCCAAAGTTTCATGAGCATCTTCTAGCTAGCGGTTGTCATAGTTCAGATTTCTGCCTCTTCCATTGGCCTCACAGTTATTTGGCACTAGTTCGGGGCTCCTTCAGTAGCCCTTTGCTATGTTTTGCTCATCTTGGATTTTTAGTCTATTGTAAATAACTAGTAGTCTATCTTTATATTTGTATCAGTTAGGTTTTACATGTGTTTTGTTTGATTTTCATCCCAAGGTTTTCTTTTGCTTAGGGTTTTAGGTTATTGGGTCGTAGTGGGAGGATTAGAACTAGGTTATTTTAGAGTTCTCAATTCTAGTGCATGTATATCCTCTCTAAAGCACATTTAACCAGAACGATAGGGACTATTTAGAATATACTACCTCTGCTATATATTGATTTCATCATTTAGAATTTAGGTACACGTTAGGAAAATTTTAGTATCTTAATTATTAAATTAGATTCAACTATTATTTTTACAAATATACAATCATTAATGTTTAAAGCAAAATGTTTAACATCACTATGAAATGGAGGTAACTAGTACAATCTATCATCCTAAACAAAATTGGGAGGGGGGAATGTTGTAGTCTTGTAGATCAACTAACTTTAAGAGATTATATACTCATGAATCCATTAGCTTATATTTTGAATAATTTAAATCTTAATCTCCCATGTATATATAAAATGTAGAGTCAACCGTGTTTGAACTAAAATTGAACAAAATAATAATTTGTCATCAATGCCAAAATAATTTAAGTTCTATGTTATTCAATTTGATGCTCAAACTTTTTGAATAAATCTTGATATCTTCATAAAACTCCTAAATAGGCTGAAAAGAGATACAAGAATAAATGAAAAGGCGGTGGAAGACGAGCTAGCAAGGATACAAGAGACGGCGGCAGCACCACCACTAATTGATGCCATGCGGGAGGCTGCATGGCTATCAGAGGGGCAATCCTTAACAACAACAAATGAGCAAATACAACGGTTGAATGCATCACTTGAAGCAGTCATAGCTAATGCTGACTCCTTGAGGGTGACAACAGGAGCAAAAGCAGCCGAGATTTTGAGGCCAACTCAATGTTTGAGGTTCCTGGTAGCTGCTATGAGACTAATGCAAAGAATGAGAAGTACAGGGATGGAAAGAGATAATCTTGGAGGAGACTTGGATAGAAGTAACATAAATATATATATATAGGTTGATGCTTCATTTTCGATTTTTTAAAAAGAAAATAATGCAACTTATATTGAAATAGATAAAAAAAAAATTATAAAATATATATAAGTATAGTTTTGTACGAAGTATGTTACTATGATTGTGGCTGGCATAGATAAGTCGGATGAAAAAAAAAACCCAAAAACAGAAGAAGAAAAGAAAAGGAAAAAGAACAAACCTCTTGTGATATTTCAGAGGGGTTTGTCTTGATATTGTAGTACTCCTATATGTCCTATAGTAGGTTGATTGTTGTTTTTGAGCTTTTGTAAAAAAACGTAGTCTCATATTTTATGGTTGTTTTTGAGAAATTGAAATTTCTTTATGTTAGGGAGATGTATTAGATGATCAGGGGTATGAAAAACAATGTGGGTATGATGTAATGATGTGTGTGTGGTCTATTACTATGTCATTACGTTGTACGAAACCAACGTACAATTTTTTCTGGAACGATGGTATCCTAAAAAGTTTATATACATGTTTTTAAATGATTTAGAATATTAAATTTATTTACATTTTTGTTTTTTTTTTTTTTTTTTTTTTTTTTTTTTTTTTTTTTGAAAGAGAAAAAAAATTAACTTAGTTGAATTGTACCATCAAATAAAAATGCTAGATCCATGTTTCCTATAAAGATCTTTTTTGAGTATAGACACATTCAAACTTTTATCCTTTTTTTTCAATTACGTTAAGTATTAACAATGCAGATTATTTAAATTCACTACATCGATCATAGTATGTTATAAATTAGTTGGGGGTATTATCCCTTTAGTTTCATTAAGAATACCGGACATATTTCAACAACTAATATTGACTTTTAATCATTCTGTATACTATACAAATAATACGCAATGATTGATATTTTCGAATTTGCAACAATTTGATACATAGGAGCATGATAACATTGCTAAATACAAGTTTAAAAACTATACTTGATTATGATTACATAGTCTCTTAGTATTTTTTCATGTAGATTGTCTATCCCACCACCTACTTTGTGTTTCATAGAGGTATAACAACGGGATTACAAACATACTAAGGTAACATGAGCATATCATATGAAGCGCTTTTTTGGTTCAGCAAGCAACAACATCCTAGTTTACTAGTCCTCCTTTCTTGGGTATGCGAGGATAATTTAGCAGCCTGAAACGCACATATTTAAGAAAATAAAATAAAATAAAATAAATGGTGTCAAAGCAAAGTTTACACAGAACAATGAACTAAGGCAAACACAATTCATTTTTTGTTAGCAAAATACTGTATGAATTTTGCAGCAAGGATCATGATTAAAGTACCAGCCTGCATTCACAAAGTTACTCTGTAATATATTTGAATGTGGTATACAAGGTGCGGGTGCAAGCCTTGCATATGAAGCTGAATATATGAGCTTGGACACACCATTAAAAAATACAAGAGTATTTGCAAAAACACACAGGCTAACATAATAGGATCTTCAAAAATCAATCATGCCCGTGAAGAAGAGGATGGAAAGAAGCCAAACACAGCAGAATACACCACACCATGGGGTTCTAAACAACTGCTAACTTAATTAATACATCTCCCGTTCAAACAAAACTCAATTTATAACTGCTCCTCACACAAGTACAGTAAACCAGTATATTCTCAGTTAAAGAAGTGTTAATTATAGTATAACCACCAATCAAACACCGCCTAAATCAAGAGGAGCAACTACACCTCTACGGCTGTACATATGTTATTCAAATTTTGCTTTGTTAAGTGAGCTTAGGGTTCCTCTAGACTTTGATTCAATCTTTACAATTACAAATTTACAACTGAACTAAGAGCACAATTCATAATTGAATTAATAAGGTAACAGGCTCAAGCTAGGCTCTTTAAAACTAGTATTGTTGTGTGCCTATTAAAAGGCTTTGATACATTGGTTGCCTAATGTTTGCACATCCAAGAACATCATGTTTTTAACACTCACTTTGGAAAGAGATATACATAGATCTAGCACTTTTTGTTGAAGCTGCAACAAAGGAAACATGAGATACTACCAGTACCATTTTGCTTATGGTACCGACTTTAGCTCCACCAACTGAAAGTGGGTACTAGGTATGGGGATCTAACTATCCTCCAATGTGTTTGAACTTTCTCAATTCAAAATTCCTATTGCATTTTATTTAAACATTATAAAATTGACAATGCTACCCAGAATTATTTAGAACACTGAACAAATTTGAGTTTAGCAGTGATATTATTCCTCTTCCCATATTAAGCAGTAAGATAAGAAAAAATGTTGGATTAAGTTCAGGTAACATAAGCAAGCCTTCTTATAAACAAACTCAACAAACAACACAAGGACTCAAATTCCAACAAAACAATTTCCAGTCCACTAATTGATCAACAGAATCTAACAAGATCCCAAATGATACATTACATATATTATTTTAAAAAACAATGGTCAAAGTTTAACTTTGGCATAGAAAAGCCAATTGCTCTACGTATCAGAGTGTAGCAGGTTTTTTAATAAATCAACTCATCTCGAACTTTGCACACATCACATGCCATAGGCCATAGCCATGTTGTATTTTCATAATTTCTGATTTTTGAGTTATTTACATCTCTTGTTGAATAACAAAATATAGACATTTAGTTTGACTGTCAGCCAAACTTGTCTTCATTTTTATCTATTATCCCTCTTGGTTTGAAGATTTTTACCAAGCAGCATAAATAGCAAGAGCAGAGCATATACATAAAGCAGAAAACAAATCAAAGCAAAGAGAAATGTTTACATGCACTATAAGCGGCTCCTTGCTGCAGGTTTGAAGCTGGGAATACCAGTGACTTCCCTTGCTGTCACCAATGAGTTGATGTCATATGTTCCTTCATATGTGTAGATGGGCTCAAGGTCACAGAATGCCTGGAAATTGCAATGTCGGAAATAATAAGATATAGGAAAGACTGCCTAGTGAAACACAAGATAAAGAACTGTCACAAGGAAATGGTCGACCAATCATAATAAAATATCCAAAAGTTGATTTTGAGCTCAGGAATATTATGTACAATGGGTTTGGAAGTAGAAGACAGGTATTTGACATTTCGATTGACAAATCAGTCCAGCAGACACAGGGACTAAGTCACAAAGCCAAAAGTAACTTATAGATCTCATGCTTGAAAATTAAGCCATAAAAGGATCTCTCTTGATCTGTTAGTTTCTCTCTCCTATCCATTTTCCCTCACCCTGCCGCAGATCTGAATCATCTATCAGTAAGCTTGCCAAGCAACTTTATCATACTCCCTTCTCGTCATTGCCAGAGATTTAGGTCTACATGTTACCAGTATTCATCTTTAAAGCACAGAAAGCTATCCTGTTTCATGTTGCTTACTGACTGGCAAGTACAGATAACATAATTAATCTGACAATACTGCAACATTTTCCCTAGTAATAAGCAAGTCATCTTTATTCTTTATCACTTGAAATCCCAGCGCTATTAGACTGCATTACAGCATAATCCAGGACAGGATAACAAATTTCACATTTCTATTTATAACAAACGGAGAGAATCCTTTATGTTTGGTTGCAAATAAAACCATCTGATATAAATCACAAGACAAAATTGTTCAGGGGGAAACTAAATAACTAATGTTTATAATTGGAAAGAAAAAAGAAAGAGAGCCAGCCCCTGGGAAAAGAATTGGCCAGCAAGTTTCTCAGATTTTCGTGGAGATGTGATCTGGATTTGACCAACAATTTGACAACCATGGGAGGCCAATGTCAGATAAATTCAGTACTCAAGTAGTACCCCTCAATCTTATTCATGATAATTTAATATTTGAGTTTCAGTAATGCACTAGAAAAACATCACTAAGAAACCTGAACATGAGTTACTACAATCAGAACCAAGGAACATCTCGAACAAGGAGACGAGACAACAAATTCATCACTTACAACATTAGAAATGTCATAAGCTATATTTATCGCCAATAACATAAATAAACCAAGGGTATATTCATTCGCTAAGCACATCAGGTCCTTTCAACCATAAAGTGGAAGGAGCAGCTAGTGCGCATGATTTCATAAAGACAAGTAAATCAAATTAAGACATACGATACGAATACGATATATAAATATACTATATACTCTTTTCTGCCAATTGACTAACTATTGGGAAAGCTAAAATCTATAAAAGAGTCAGCTGACATGTTCTGTTAAGCAAGATTTAATTATTAACTGTCTTACATCTTTAGCATCAAAAGAATTGACATTCAGTTCATATATATAATAAAACTCCAATGTAAATTATTTTACCCACATTCTTCAAAAAGCACATGATAGACAGTAAATAGGCAAGACAACGAAGTACTGAAAGTAGGGCAAGTACGAGACCTTTGCAACAAGAAAATCGGCAAGGATTCCATTGCCTCCTAGTAATTCGCGACCAAGAGCAACTGTCTCTCTTGCCTTGACAGAAATCCATGACTGATATATTCACAGAGGAAATTGTCATTAGAACAGCTGTTAAAAGACTTTAGATAATCATAGCTTGTTAACTAAATTCACCTTTCCCAAGCTTGCATGACCAGGGGTCATTTTTCCACTCTCGTACAATTTACAAAGGCGCCAACCAACAAGAAACATTGCCTGAACATTTCCCAACATCTGCACAAGCTTTTGCTGATTTATTTGGAATGCTGCCAATGGTGCACCAAATTGTTTCCTCTCTTTTAAGTACCTTCAGGAGCAGTATTCAGTCCAAGTAATGCTAGCATGTTAGGGAACTACCATTTCGTACACAAATATCAGTAAACCATCATAATACCTGAGACACATGTCATAAACACCCATGGAAATGCCAATAGGTTGCCAAGCAACCATGACCCGTGAAACTGCAAGTACCTGCTCACATCAAGAGAGTTGCGTCACATAAATGCAAAATGAACAATATATTTGACAATTTGTCAGCAGATTTACAGAATAACTAAGCACCAAAGGCATTTTACTACTGCTATTGAGTTTGTATACAAACTTGATAAACCCTACTTCAGGTCACAGGTCAAGTTGCCTTCCGTGACCTCACTTTGCCCTCCTTTCATCCTTATTTATTAGCCAGCTCATCAAAGAGATCACATTGGGCAGCCAACAGCCATTGCTAAATCAGCAAGGAGTTTTAAAACATATTTAGATGCTAGTTAAAAGGTGGATGGATAGATCTTGAATCCAAGTATCCATTAAAAACATTGGCCCCTTAACTTGTAACCATATCTCAGTCAAGTTTCAAATTTTGTATGTCAAATTCTTAAATCCTTAACTAAGTTTGACACTCATCAAAATTTAAGCATCATCTTCATTCCCTACTTCCACCATCCACTCCCAAATGCACCTTAGCTTTAAAAAGTGCATCTGAGGTACAAAGCAACAGAAGGCACTATGGTCACATCAGAGAGCACCGGGGCACAGCAATCTTCAAGTGGTGCAGATGGTAGCCTCGACCCCACCAATGCCCCAGATGAGGCTACTCAGCTGGCTATGTACACTGTATACTGAATTACTAATGCAATTTAATGGAAGAATGTTATTATATTCTTAAAACAGACATTGATTATCCCTCAACTAGATTACCCCATGTGTTGCATTATTTAAATAGGTTTTTTTAGAGGATAATCGTTATACTTTATTTGGGAAATGTGTAGGCATAATCTCATCAGAAAATCCTTCATCAGTGGTTGCAAATGACTTATTTTTTCAATCTTTTCGGTCTTGCTTCGATAGGAGCAAGTCATCTGGCCGTCAAGATCGTGGGGCATCCTTCTCGAAACCAATATTTTCTTAGTTTTGGAACTTGGAAGGACAAAATGATGTCATAAGTAATTAAGGCGGGAAAATTTTCATAAGAAGCTGACATATGTCAATCAATATTGTCAGAAGTGGCTTGTTTTAGTAATAATTATAACAGTGATGCGTAAAGTACAAGTTCATAGGTTTTCCAGGGTACATTATTTACTCATTTGGATTACTATAAATGAGTAAAATGCATCCCAAAATAAGCAACAATAGCCTTGGGTAGAGCTAACTACCAGAGTACCCAAGAACATAATGAACAGTATGTGCATTAGGCTTTCCCCCCCACCCCCCACCTTCCCAGATCTGCTCTTAGCTCTTAATTATTCAAGCAAGAGAAAACCTCAGTGGCTAGATCTCCTAACAAGCACCTGGCAAACAATCCACCAATCATTTCAAATCATTAATTTAAGTAGAACAGGAGAATCAGCAAAAATAACCAAAAGCTGAAAATAATCAAGTTCTTTACTCTTGCTTTAATATTCTGATCAGGTTTTATATTCTGACATAAGTTAACATATAAACATACATAAATAGCTAGAGAGCAGCAAAAACACTCTCAGAATTAGAAACATAATGAACCCACATTAATAATCCAACTTATTAATTTTCTTAACCTGCAAGATCCTAATAGAACAACGAACATAATACAAAACAAGAGTAAGGACATTCAGTAACTGAAGTTATGTATCCCTCCATTACCTTATTTGTGTCTTGGAAAGAATTGACACCAGGTAGCCTATCCTCATCAGGGACAAAAACCTTCTTTAGGACTATATCTCCATTCTGAACAATCCGCAAGCCTATCTTGTTCTCAATTTTTGTAGCAGTGAGCCCAGGCGAATCCTTTTTAACAATGTATCTGTAGAGAGTGGACTGTTGATAAGAGAACAGGGGAAAGAGGACGAGTTGTATGGATATCAATGAGTTAAAACTGCAGTAGGTCTAACATCAAGCTCTTGTTGCACCAAAAACTCGAGATTAAAATCAGATTAAGCTGATACGCGAGCTTTTTCAAATTATTACAAGGCAACTTTGGGATGATGGTAAACTATACACAATCCCAATATTGTTTTATGCTGAACTCTGAGCCAATTAAAGGTATTGCTTCTTACATCTTGACCTCCTAGACCATTCAAGTTGGTGATCAGGTAATGTATCAAGAACAGGTAAACTAACCTCATCCAATGATATTAAGAAGTATAGCCCCTATCATGTGAAAAAGAGGAGAATTTATAACCTTTGATGGGAACATTGTGCACTTAAAAAGTTAAGCATGCTCTGACTATCATAATATTATGGGAACTACCTTTACATACTGCCTTTTACAGATAATTTTAAAATAATTGATTCAGTGAACACTATCGTATCACAAAGCTAGTTCCTTCATTTTTATTCTTCCTCACTTCGCACAAATGGGCCAAGATTTGAGGATCATACTTAAAGTCTAATTTAAATTGTGTTTCTATATTTCTTAGGGAAAATGCCATCTAAGTTTAATGGGATATGCATTTTGTATGCCCACATGTGTAAAGGTTCAAGAGGATCCTAAAGCACTGGTCAAATATCACAAACCTAGGAGTATCTTGTTTTAATTATCAAAATCATAATAGATTTGACTGAAACTTCCTTATGCAGATCATACTATTTTTCAAATTTTCTCCACTTGTGTTTCCCCCCATCCCACATATTACAACACTGACAACTTCAGCAACAGATTTCCCAAGTCCAAAGTCCTCGATGAAAAGTGATATAAAATATTCACTAAAAGCATGGATTCATCAACCGCTTTCAGAAATGCAAAACCTCTGGCAAACAGAAACAAATAGCAGAGCTTTGAAGAAAACAAGTCTACAAAATACTGTCAATCATTTAACAGGGAGCCAGAGGCCTTAGTAACAGTTTAGACACACAAGGCTTAGGTTGAAGACTCGTCGTTCTGCTAACATTATACATTAACATCAATATCATCATAGCCCAAAACCTTTGATTAAAGACATGGAAGATCGGGTATACAAATTGACCTCTGATTAACTACAAAACAATTGCATGCTACTTCACGACACTTTAATAGGTATATACCGTTTAATAAGCCATTTTAGTTTAGTCCAAGGTCATCTAAAAGTCGAGAATAGAAATCCACATATTTCATTGACAATGGACAGGCTTATTACCTAATGTGGTACTGCCAAACTATCAGGCAAGGGTAGAGCAAGATGTTGCAGCAGCAATAAGGGAAGACACCAAGGACAGAGAAGGGGCATTCTCCAAGCATATCTTCAGTAGTAATATACATATTTGATAGAAAGTAAATGCATCACTCAATCAAGCATAATCAGATTCAGTAGGATTCTATCAATTCCAACAGACAATCAATTGTTCGCACTTGTATGCCCACATAACATCCCATGCAACCCCAAGGGTCGAACACTTTATATACTTGTCCCTAAGACCATTATCCAAAACATAAAAGCAAATTCTTACAAATTCTTCAGTATTTGTCTAAATGCAAACTTTCAGCAAAAGTTCTATAAAAATTCTACATTAACAAATAGATTTTTCTTTCTAGGATCCTGTCAAAGAGCTATATTTACTCAATATTTTAGAGGATTTCACACTTACCCATTTATCTGATTTGTTGCAGTGTTCCTAGCAAATATGATGAGTAAGTCTGCAAATGTGCTATTACCTATCCAGCGCTTTTGACCTTCCAATATCCAGCCTCCAGCAACCTATAAATGGCTATAATCAGATGTGCTTCTTGAGAAAGGAACAGGAAATGCATGGAGAAAAAATGGATTTTAAACCTTTGTAGCAGTTGTTTGCAGACCACTTGCATCACTTCCATTGTCAGGCTCAGTCAATGCCTGACAGACAAAGAAAATGAGAAAGATTATATGCATAAGTTCCAAAAGTCAGCCAAATTAATGAATGGCAGCAGAGGGCAAACTTACCCAACATGCTATAGTTTTTAACTGTGCCAAAGAAGGCAAATAATTCTTCTTTTGATCTTCTGAGCCACACAATGCTATCTCAACAGACACCACAATGTTACCAAAAGTAAATTATCAATCAGATATTGCCTTCCAATAAACCTAAATAACAGACATGATATATACTGACATTGCAAGTGTATCAGACAGAGGGTAAAATAAGTTTATATATAAAAGAAGTTGAGGAGGTCACCAATTGTAAGCATTGCCAGAGAAGAATGCACCAATATGAATGTCGAACAACTAGCATCAACCCTAGCAACCTCAGCCGTGGCAATAGCATTTCCGGTAATGGAAAGACCGGGGCAACCATAACCCTAATCACTGAAACTTGTGAATACCTCATTTAAGGTGCTCACAACAAAAGAAAGTCAAACCCAATGTAAATTAATTACCTTAATACTCCCACCAGCAATATGCAAGGCCCCCAACTTTGGAATAATCTGGAATGGAAACTCAGCTCTTTCCCAGTACTGCAATTAACAAAACGTGTTACAATCTCTTGCTTAATTTGGCAACTGAAGATAATACAAAGATGACTTAGAATTATTTATTACATAATGACCAATAAAAGGCCATGATGGTAGCGATCAAAGTTACTAAGTAGAGGTAACCACCTCTGCCATAATAGGAGCAACTTCTTTTTCCATACACTCTCTAACTTTTGCACGAATAGCCCTCTCCTCATCATTCAGCAGATCATCAAATTGATAATAGTCGGATGCTGCAATCCAAAGGAGGCACGGGAAAGAATAAATAAATAAACATCTAGAATGAGACTAAATTAGTAAGGAATCAAAGGAAACTAGCTGAGTAGGATATATTAAAAAATAATAATCAATAATAAAAAATAAAAAAAGAATTTGATAATTATATTGGTGAAATCAGAGAAAAGCCTATAACTGATGCAGACACACAGGAACATAGGTTTGAAAGTAAATGGAATAAGACAGTTCATTAATTGATCCAGCCAGCAAAAACCTCTAATATCCACAATTGCCTCCTTTATGAACATTTTTGTGCATGTTTTAAGCCTTATGTGTCACAAAAGTGATAAGTAGATTAAGTACAATTTATTAGAGGAAAACTACTAATTAGATTGAGACTATAAATGACAACTTGTGACCAATTACAGAAAAACAGATGAGACAAAGAATCTAAATTATGGCACTCTACAACAAGAATCCGTCTATTTTTAGGTTCATGGCCATTCAACAAGTCGGTCTCAGTATTATATTGACTAATTTAATCTTGGGGGAAGCATGTTTAGTTTCCCAAGTGAATACGAGTTTTAATCTGGAAATAAGTATTTACTTCTATAATGTATAATTGCGTATAAATACACTATTTAACAATTAACTAAAATGACTAATCCTTATAACTTACTCCTTCCTCTTTCTAGACCGCTTTTAGTGTAGGTAGATTCTTAGATACGATGGACGTATACAATAATATGGCTCAAGTAATCCCATATCTAACTTGTAACTTGTTCGATAGTATACTGAAATGCATTACAACTTTGCAATTACCTAAATCCACTACGTAAGAGAAAAATTGAGGCAAGACTTGGATAATTTGGAAAAGCGAAAAGAGATTTAACACAATAACAGGTATTGGAATTCAAAAAGAATAAGAAACTCATGCATCTGAAGAAGCTCATCAAAAGAGTGAAGCAATATCATCAACTATGAAACCATGATTTCATAAATTGTGCTAGGATACTTGCCAACTTTATAAATTCTAAGTTTCCACTTTCCAACTCTTTTCTATTACAATTCACCAAAATACTTTAATTCTCTCCTTCAATTCTATGCGTTATCACTTCATCAGTATATGACTAGTAATTTAAATTGATTCTGAAATTAGCAACCGTGATATTTTACATTATTATATTAATTATTCATTTCCCAAAAAAAATTATGTTACATATATAAGGACATATGGGTTGCCTAAGGTAGTACAAAGTTCAGCAATTAATTAAAATTTATCAGAACTTTACAGGAATAAAGAATAACAATCTCACCGCAAGGAGGAAATATGGATGCAGGTTTTGCTTGGGGGAATGCTTCTGATATATCAAGTGGTGGCAGATTGAAATATGAACTCCTCGCATCCTTTAGTGAGTCACCTAGTAGGCAAACAGCACAACATCCGATCAACCATTAAAGTGATAATAATCACTTGACTACCCAAAGCTAATTTTTATTTTTTCTGAATTTATTTTATCAGAGCTAAGATAAGATATGTTAAAATAAGATGAAACAAACCGGCCGTAAGGTAAGTTAATAGGGATCATTAGAAACTCTACATACACTTAAAGCAGAATAATCAAAAAATTATTAGGCTACTTCAATTTAGCTTATTTAAGCAAAGATTTGCTGGTTTCAAAACTGATCAAATCAGACCAGATTAGATCAAACTTGATCTTTTTATTTGCATTTACTTAATAAATATCTAGTACCATAACTAAAAAATTATGAAAATTTAATATTTGAAAAGTATACATTGATACAAATTTAATGACATTTTTTTTTTTTTTTTGAGGTAATGACATCTCATTTTATAATATATTATCTAGTTTACAAATAAATCAAAGTATAGCCAACTCTGAAAATCAAATCGAACCAGATTTGATCATATTAGAAAATTTCAGATAGGTGAATTGAACATAGCATTAGCCTTAATCATCAAAACATTCAAAGTCAATAATCCATTAAAATTAATAAAAATATTAACATTCAATTCAAAGTCCAAAACGTATTCCAAACGAAACCAAGTAATTGCAATAGCCGAAGCCAAGCAATACTAATTAGCATTTATTTACAATAAGATAAATTGAACAACAAAAAATAATTAATAAATTTAAAGCCAATGAAACAGTATATATTTTTCAAAATTGGAACAATTTAAACATCAACTATGAAGATGAGTAGATTGGTGTATGAGTCAGCTAAACAAAATTGCATTTCACAGTATAAAATCTAAAATATACCACCAAACGTCGAATTTATTAAAAAGAGGGGAAATGGTAGACAATTATGATATCTAATGCCAAAAAATTGCATAAAAAATATCGTAAATTTCATGATCTTGAAAATGAAAATTCATGCAATTTATTGCATTCACCAAACTTTAATTAAAAAAAAAAAAAAAACAGCGAAAAACTCATGATCTTAGAATGAAAACTAACCTTTATTTGTAGAAGAAATTGTCATTTTGCAGAATCAGGAAAAGAAAATTAGGAATTTAGGAGAGAGAAAAAAGAAGAGTTAAATGGCACGGAGTTCGAAGAGGACGAAATGGGGAAATGAAAATTGAAGACGATCTTATTAATTGAAGAATCGTGATTATCTGAAATTGAAGACAAAACAGTAATGAATGACGTGGCAAAGGGTAGACCCAAACGAATAAAGTTAAACTGTAAAAAATACAGGTAAAATATGGAGATGCGGGGTATCGATCCCCGTACCTCTCGCATGCTAAGCGAGCGCTCTACCATCTGAGCTACATCCCCATCTTACGATATTAATTCTTTTTTCAATAATGATAGTATGATATTACAGTGATAAAAAAAATCATCAGGGCTTCACATCATATATCGTGCCCAAACCCATAAAAAAGTAGCGGATTTGTCGAGTCAAAGCCGGTTTTTTGGGCTTTTCGGACTGGGTTCGGGTTTTTAACTAAAAATGTGCTTTAACCCATCTTATTTTCAGGCGGGGCCGATGTTGATCACCTCTAGCATTAACTCTCCAAAAAAAATGGCACTATGGGTTAAGAAAAACTATCTAAAGATTTAATCATCCAAAAATCTGATCCACATAAGATAATTTAGGATATCCAATTCAATATTAATTATAGATCGATCTAATCCGAAATTTTCAAATCAGATGCTTGTTCGAATATCAATATTCGAATTCAGGATAAAGAATATCTGATAAAAAATCCAAAAAATTGAGATTTTTTTACATTTTTTCATTAAAAACATAAAAAATAGCTGCATGGTATTTCGGATATTTGGTATATTTGATTTGAACAAAACTAGTATGTCGGAACTTTTCAGATCGGATTTAAGTTGAGCAAAAATAATTTCACCTCACTAAAAATAGGAAAATTTGTTAAGAATAATACGACCTTTAGCGATTTTCCAAGAGTGGAACGACCTTTGGATTATTTCAAAATGGAACGACCTTTGATACACATCTCCCAAAAATGGAACAAAAAACCCATAACCTGTTTTGGGTTATGATATGTGTCACATGTGTGATTGGTTAAAACATTTTATTTTATTTTAATATTTTTCTTCAATTATAATGTTTAAAAAACAAAACTTAAATTAAAAAATTTTAAAACAAATTTTAAAACTAAAAAAAAACTAAAATTTAAAAAAAAAAAAAAAAAAAAAAAAAAAAAAAAACCCTCCCCACCCCCGCCAGCAGCAAGAGTCCCCCTACCAGGCGCAAGCGAAACCCCTCCTGACCTAGACCCCGACCACCCAGCCCCTCCATCCCCTTCCCCTGAACTACCTTCCCCCCCAACCCTTAAACCCCCTCCTTCCCCTCGAAAACCCTCCTCTCCCCAGCGGCAGCGCCCAAACCCCCTCCCCTGTGCGGTAAACCCATTTTGCCCCTCCGTCGGCCGTCTCCACCCCCTTCCCCCCTTGAACCATCACCCGAAAACCCTAAAACCCCAAAATCATTACGAATTTTCGAGTGGTGGTTCAAGGGAGGAAGGGGGTGGAGACGGCCGGCGGAGGGGAGAAATGGTTTCGTCGGCACGGAGGGAGGGTTTAGGCGCTGGCAGGTGGGAGGGGAGGGTTTTTTTAGGGGAGTGAGGGAGTTTTAGGGTGGGGGAAGGTGGTTATTAGGGGAAGGGGAGGGCTGGGTGGTCGGGATCTAGGTCAGGAGGGGTACCGTTGACACCGAGTAAGGACTCTGGCCTGGGTGTGGTGGCTAAGTGGCTGCGGGTGGTGGGGTGGTGTTTTGGAAGTCACGTGCCACTCATGGGGTGGTCAACGCGGGATTTCGGTATAAGGTGTTATCTCGCAAAAAAATTTACATTTATGGTGTGTTTTCGCAAAAAATAATAATAATATTATATATATATATATATATATATATGTATAAGATGGTTTTTTTCCCAAAAAGTGTTATATAAGGTGGTTTCTGACAAATTTTTTCTTTATTTTATGTATGAGCAAATAAAAGATATTAGATTATTTTTTGTCATTATAGATTATTGTTTACATGAATAAAATTAAACATTAAATCTTCAAGTATATGATTATGATTAATTCTTTTTAGCAAAACATTATAGACATAAAATTTGCCATTGGAGTAGTGGTTGTAGTTAAAGTATAATGAGCATGAGGTCATGGGTTTAAACATTAATGCTAACAATTTATCATTTTTGCTTAATAAATAATAGTAATTGTATGACATGGCGCCACATCATTTGCCTAGTAATGATGACATATGGCAAGTTCATATCTTCCAATTGAGTTTTAATATATATATATGTGTGTGTGTGTGTTAAAGCCCACTGTAGAAGGCTTTAGCTGAAATCAAGCTCAACCAACTTGACGAGGCTCACGAGGATCTTAGCAAGGCTGCTAACGTCGAGCTCTTTAATCAGGATATTCTCTATGAACTAGAGAAAGTTAGGAGCACAAGTGATGAAGCAAAGATGACCAGTGGCAAGAGGGGAATCCTTACTCCCTCCCCAGCTCACCCTACCCACAACAAAAAAGGAAGGTTTAGTGAGTCTCCTATCGGGGGTGATTGCGATTCGTTAACTATCAACGAAGATCAAAGCGGACTTGTTTGTAAATAGATATCTATGTTATTATTGACTTGAAATTATTGTTATTGAACTTAAATTATCTTTACTTAACCGAAAGTCTTTAGTCTTTTTACCAAACTAAAACTATTGATTAAAACTTATTTTTATTGATTATTTTTTTTTAACTAAATTAAATTTATAATAAATGGATCATATTTTCAAGAACTTTTTGAAACGAATTTTATGATGGAAATAAAACCGAGTTATACGATATTTATTAAAAGTTATGATTAATTTTGTATATATGAAAATTTAGAAGTATAGTGATAATAAAACTTTATACAACAATTTTATCTTAAAAAAATTTGTCCAAGAATCGCTTACTTAGCATCATATGTGTCACAATCATACATATTTGTTGCCTATGTGGCGCAACACTTGGCGAAAAAGTGAAATGCCAAGTGTCGCTATCTCGTGGTCTGGCTGCGAAACCGACTTTATTTATTAGTGATATAATATGATATACTTAGTATTGTTCCCGGGCAATGACCGGATTGTTTAATGAAGTTTAGGATATTAATAACAATATGTACAATATATATAACAATCATATTAAATGTATCTCGTTTTTAATTACTTTTTAAAACGAATGTCATTTTATAAAAATAACATAATTATAAGATATTTATTTATATCATAATTTATTTTATATATAATATGTTGGAAACTCTTAATAACTTATCCATCTTAAAAAGTTTACCCGAATTTAGTTTACTTGACATCAAACATATTCTACTAAAAAAGAATTGTCATCTATATTAATAAGATAATCTATCTTATTCCTACTATGCATCATGGGTAATTGCTTGACAACTATTTTTGTAAAAAATAATAATAATAATAATAATAAAAACAATATTAGTTTTCATTCATAGCAATATCAGAGTCCAAGAGAGGAACTATACAAACTGGAAAATTCGACAACCACACACGCCTACCTATCACCCATGGCAAACAATGAGCAAGCTCATGGGCAACTTTATTACCCTCTCTATGGACAAAACTCCACGACACCCAAACAAGAAAACTACTAACATGATTAATTATCATCTAAAATTAAATGAAAGTTACTCCCCCCCCCCCCTAATCATGTGACTTGATAGCATTGATCAAATTAAGACAATCATTTTCTACTACTATACGCTGAAATCCATACTCTACATCATTTCGAAGCCCAATAAGCAAGGCCATAGCTTCAGTAATGTGTGGCTGCCATCTGCTCTCAGACCTCCACGCCATTGCCTATAAAGCAACACCATCTGAATTCCTCATTACAGCTCCCACTGAAGAACCCAGACCCTCCAACATCCCACCATCTATATTGAGCTTCAGGACAGATCCCTTAGGGGGCACACGAGCTGAAGAACTCACTCTTGGTCCCCCCTCTTCTTCGCAGGCAGCTCGTTTATGAGCTTCCAAACATACTCCATTGAGGCTCTTGGATTACAAGCTTCACCTTCAAACAACCAGCGATTTCTAGCGTTCCATATCGACCAACAGATTGTCATAAAAAGACCACGATCCTTCTTTGGCAGCCTATGCAAACAAGTAAGGGCCATATCCCCAAAATTATGATAATACCCACTTAAATCACCCGAAAAAGCCACTTTCATCCCAAATCAGTCTAACTATAATGCAATCCTCGAGGTAGTGCAATTCAGACTCATTTTCAACACCACACAAAGTACAGGTTGGTTCCTTATCTGGCAAACGCTTGCTTAATCCCTGAAGTGTAGGCAAAGCTCCACAACAAGCTCTCCAAAAGAACAATTTAATGCGTGGGAGAGTATTAGCATGCCAAACCTGTTGCCAGATTGCAGTAGGACTCGAAGAAGAAGCCTCCTCTTCAACTTTAGAATCACCATAAATTGCACGATAAGCCGAACGAACTGAGAATTCCCCACTTTTCTCAAGATCCCACGCAAGAGAATCCTCAAGTAGGCGGAAGCTTAATGGAATGCTGAGAATACGCTCTTTTTCAAAAGGCAAAAAAAGAGTGTCAAATAAAGATACATTCCAACGAGCTGCTGCAAGGTGAATTAGATCACACACATGTAAGTCCTCTGGCGCATCACCTCGAGGTGAAATAATCTTTCGAGTTTGAGTACTTGGAATCCACGCATCCTTCCAAACTGAAATGTTTAAACCATCACCAACACGCCAACAAATACCATGCTGCAGCTCCCACTTTACTCCCCAAATTCCCCGCCATGTATAACTTTGGCTGCTCCCTAACTCCGAATATAAGTAATCCCCATTAGGAAAATATCGAGACTTCAAAATTTTTGCTAATAAGCTGTCCAGGTACTGTAATAGTCTCCAACCTTGTTTAGCTAAGAGGGCTACGTTAAAGAATTTGTAACAGAATCCCAACCCACCCTTAGCCTTAGGTTCGCATAATTTTTTCCATGCTATCCAATGAATCTTCCTCTCACCCTTCTTTTGCCCCCACCAAAAATTTGTCACCAAAGATCTCATTTCGTCACAAAATGAAGAAGGGAATTTA